TAAACGTAACGTAAAAAACTCCTTATCTTGCAATTCTTTGGTTTGGAAGTTCTAGAATCTTGTCTATGGATTTTTATTATAAAGAAAAGCCTCCTACCCTAATAACGTGCCATTTGATTGAGCTCACCGCTCCTCGAGGTGTATTGTTGGAGCTTGGGTCCATTATTAAATGTCTAGAATGTGCAACCATCCAGGGGTATAGTATATAGGATGAACGAGATTTTCCTACCCTTAATTAGAGGTCACGAAAATAAAAAATAAAAAAGTCTAGGTAAGAAATGCTTTCCTTGAAGTAGACTGGCTAGTCTTAAATCTAAACTAGTTGATCGAGCCACTGAATTCTAAATATATATATCGAACAAGTATTTTATGATAGAGATAAGAAAAATATTTTCTTCTTTGTTATGTTTGCAGGCTGAAATGGAAACTCCAACCTCAGCATTAAGACCTTTGGCACCATATCTACAGGCTGAAGCAACAACATCTTCTTGCACTAATCAAGAAGGGAATAATGAAATCTCTTGGTTTCAGCCCAAAGTGAAAAAGTCCAAGCATCATCATTCAATTTGACTAAATATTTAATATATGTAAAATGTACATACATATACACATACATATGGAGTTACAATAACAACATACGTATTCAGGGTAATCCCACAAAGTGGACCTGAGAGGGTAGAGTGTACAAAGACCTTATCCCTACCTTTGAGGTAGAGTGGTTGTATCTGATAGACCCTCGACTCAAGAATATACATACATATGGAGTTGTGCCAACAACAAAAAAATACATATATATGGAGTTGGAAATTTCAAAATATATGAATGTTTAATACTAAATTCATGTTTTGTTGTTACAAGAAATTGGTAAATGCATTTGTTTTAATAGTGTATTAACATTAATGTAACTCGCTAGTATAAGCTGCAACGTATAATTAAGATATGTTGATATCACATGTGTAAAAAATAAATATTAGATTTTAACTCAAAGAAACAAACATATATTAATAGAGAAATTTAATCAATTAAAATGAATTAAAATACATGTATTAAGTTAAAAGAAATATCTTTAGGTATTATACCTAAATTTTATGCAAACTTCATGAAATTGACAAAGTATTTTTATTACCATGCACATATTTTGAGTCTCATGAATGCTTTAGAAAGACAACTCAAGTCTTTATAGGAGAACATTTTAATCTTTAAAATGAGACTTTTCGATGCTAATTGTGAAATAATCTAAACCCCAAGCAATTATTATATATACAAAAAGTCTTATTAGGAGTAACAATAAAAACATATCCAATGAAATTTTACAATGAAGTCTGGGATAGTAAAATGGACACAAACCTTACCACTATTCTGTGGAGATTGAGAAGTTGTTTCCGAAAGACCCTTTAGATATTAAGACGAAAATATAGCACGTCACAAGAAAATAGTGCAAAGTCTATCAGAAGGGACAAGAACAATAACAAAATAGTACAATAATAGAAAAACAATAAACAATGTACTAGGATAGATTATTGAAAACAGTAAAAAATGTTGATGGATATAAAAAAACAAGAGCTACAGTAATGCAACTAGTACATTGTCAAGCACCAACCACCCTAAGCAAGACAACAATACTACACTATCAACTAACCTCCTACTCTAATACATGTCCACCACACCTTCCTATTTAAGGTCATGTCCTCAGTAATCTAAAGTTGTGTCATATCATGTCTTGTCACCTCTTGCTAATACTTTTTTGGTCGATCTCTGCCCCTCCACATACCCTCTATAACCAACCTCTCACACCACCTCGTTGGTACATCCACACATCTTTTTTTTACATGTCCAAACCATTCAGTCTCACTTCTCTTATCTTGTCCACTACGAATGTCACTGTCACCTTATTCCGAATATCTTCTTTTTAATCTTATCAATCTTAACTAGTATGATTATACATTGGCGGAATGACCTGAGAGACCCCTGTACTTGGCTCCGTTTGTCACATAGACCCTTCTACTCACGACTTTGTCAACTGAACCCTCGAACCCACTGAAACACAACATTTTAAACCCACATGACTGTTGACCAAGTCTACGTGGCAACTTAATAGTTGAGTTGGAACAAACACGTGCTTTCACGCGTTAAAGGAGTGTAGACATAAAATTCTAGAATAAAAACAATTATAAGAAAAAGAAAAAATGAATAAAAAGACAAAATAAATAAATAAATAAATATAAAGTTTGTCACTTTTTTGTTTTTTCTCCCAATTTCTTTTCTCTGTCTACCCACCCGTTTTTCACCCCATCCGTTCTTCACCAACCCAATTTTCATTTCTCTCACTTTCACAAATCCTTTTCAGAGGTAATTGCTTCAATGTTTGTGAGATTAAATTATACACAGAGAAGCTATTGGGGAAATGGGGGAGCCGAGGAGGGGTAATTTTCAGGTGGTGAAGTGACAAAGATCCGGTGATTTTGGAGAGTAAAGAGTGATTGGTGTATGTCTTTGTGAAATTAGGTGAAGTGTATTGTGTAAAATTATATGAAGATGTTAAAGCATATTAAAATATTTTAGTGTGGTTCATCGGTATTAGAGAATATTTAAATACTTTGTGTGGTTCGTCGATAATAATGGAGGAAATGGATTCACAATGGTTCAAGTGGGCGACGGAGACGTTGGACAAAAACATATGACAGAAATTATGAACGATGAAAATTTGGAGAAGAACGGTCGTTTATAATTATTTAAGGTAGTGTTTTAGGTAAGGATGCAAGATTGCGATGGTGTGTTTGGTGTAAAAAATGGAGGGGAGTAGTCAAGTATAGGGGCAGTGAAGGAGAAACATAATGAAAAAGAACAAGAAATTATTGTTTTTTAAATAAAATAAAAATAAATGATGTGTCATTAAAAATCTGATGTGGATGATGACATGTTATTTTACGGTTTAAAATGCACGTGAAGCTAAAATGGTTTAAAATGTTGTGTTTCAGTGGGTTCGAGGGTTCAATTGGCAAAGTCGTGAGTAGAAGGGTCCATGTGACAAACGGAGCCAAGTACAAGGGACTCCCAAGTACATTCCGCTTCACCTCAGCATTCTCATCTCCGCGAATCCATTGAATATCATTTCTAATCGGCAAAATGGTCTGATGGACCCCTGTACTTGTGACAATTTGTATTATGGACCCTTCTACTTACGTCTTTGTCATCTGGACCCTTACACTCAATAAAACACAATATATCAAACCCCTCTGACCATTGACCATGCTTATGTGGCATTAAGATGGTTGAGTTGGCAAGAGAGTGAAGCTACACGCCTATTAAGACAAGTGAACACCATATTTAAATTTAAAAAATATTTAAATTATAATTGAATAAAATAATAAACTTAAAAAAGAAAAAAAAATCATTCTTCTTCAACCAATCCATCTGCTTTTTCAACCATCCATCCTTGCCCAACCTATTTTTTTCTTTCTTCCATCTTCTTTGGCAAAATGGTCTGGTACACCAGAGGCGGCGAGGAGCCTTTGTACGCAGGAGGCAATGAGGAGTTTTTTGGCCTTTTGGTACGCTGGAGATGATGGAGAGCATAGGGGGTCCCTAGTGGTTCGTAGCAGTCGTCAATGGTGTGGAGCTGGTGCGGCAATTTGTGAAGGTTGGAGAAGGAGGAAAGAAAAATGGTGAGGGTGTGTGATGAAGATGGAGACTGGTGAGGGAGATCGTATTTGTGGTTTCGCCGACAAGAGGAGCGGCAGCAACAACGACTTTCTCCGACAGTTAGGCCATTTCACGGTGAAAATGGAAGATGATGCTAGGAGACCCAAACTTTTAATTCAAAATAATAAATTAAAATTTGATTTGTCAAAATTGCATCAAAACTTTATTATTTTTCTTTTGTCAAAAAAGAAATTATTATAAAAAGGGAAAAAAAATGATGTGGCAAATTTTATCTGACATAGAGTGTGACCATTAGCGCGATTGAGAGTCACGATGAGTTGAAATGGTTCAACAGTTTGAGTTTAGATGGTTTCAAGGGTCCAGATGACAAAGAGGTAAGTAGAAGGGTTTACAATACAAACGCATACAAGTACACGGATTCACCAGACCATTTTGCCTTTCTAATCATTAGTGGTGTTCACGGTTTGGATAAAAATCGATCCAAATTGAAAAACCAAACCAAACTGATAAAATAAAATCGATTTTATTTGGGTTTGGTTTGGTTTGGTTTTAGATTTTTGAAAACCGATAGTATTTGGTTTGGTTATGGTTTTATTTGAAAAAAATCGAAGAAATAACCGAACCGAACCGATGAATTCTATACATATATTTTATTAATATACATACTTAATATATTATTTTTATAAACAATTTTAAAGTTCTTATACATATTTTCATTAAAATTTCTTTATAATTTACTTATTGAAAGCAAAAATTTCCAAGATGAAACATTTATCTTATTGATTCCATGTATATGAGTGTCTATGACAATTTTTTGTGAGACTGAAAATGTTATTTTCTCTTCCTTCTAGACCAATATAGTGAATTTTAAAGCTTTATTGATAGTAAATTTAGTGATCGAAAGTTCAGTAATATAAGTCATTCTAACTATTTTTCGTTTTGAATGGATTGTTGTCACTTTTATCACATTTTAAATGAATTGTTTCTTTATTTTTGTGTATGGTTAATAACCGAACCAAACCAAACCGAAACCGATAATCACCAAACTGATAAATGTATATTATATTTGGTTTGGTTTGGTTTTGATAATTTTAAAACCGATTAAGTTGGTTTGATTTTGATTTTGACCAATAATCGATCCAAACCAACCCGTGAACACCCCTACTAATCATCATGAGTAAATTTTTCAAAATTCAATAGATCTAGATCCCTCTCAAATCCAACCCACTTGAAAACCTGACCCGAAATATCAAAACCAAAAAGCCTTCAACACCTAACTTCCAGATCAATTCAGCTCCCCGACCAAAACTCCTCCGCGCATACAACTCCTCTCCGCCATGGACACCGCCGGATTACCCGACCCGAATCCATCACAACCCGACACCACCACCGCTGCCGCCGTGGACACCACCACTGCCATTGACGATCCACTAAACAACCCATACACCTCCCTAAACGCCATCTGCCATGAACTCTCCGATCTCCAAGACCTAGCCACCCGCGGCGCGTGGAAGTCAATCCTCGACAAAGTCGGCCACGCGCGGTCCCTCAACCTCCTCACTAAACCTCACGAACACCTCACGTACCTCACTTTCAACGTCTTAGCACTCACCAAGCTCCGCCGTCCCGTGGATGCTAATCAAGAGCTCGAAACCCTCCTCGACGGCGAAGATTTCAACACCCCACAATTCCATTACCAGAATTACCCTAATCATTACCCCAATATGAAGGGCAATTTCGTCCCTTTTGCTCTCCGTTGGCTCCATGCTTATCTTCCTTACTCTCTTGCTCAGCGGATGAAATCACTCGACAGGTTATATACGCTTATTGATTTTATTAGATCGAAAAAGTTGAAAGTTTCAACTAACCCCAGTAAAGATTTGTGGAAAAGAAGGGAGATTTTGGTTTTGAATACGATAATTAGTCATCATTTGAGTCAAAAAGATTTCAAATTGTGTTTGGGTTTGTTGAATGAGCTGATTGGAATATGTGGGGATGATGATCCAAACGTGTTGTCGAAATTAGGATATGTGAAAATGCAGTATGGAGATGTGGAGGGTGCGAAAAAGGCGTTTAGCGCGGTGGAGGGAATGATAGGGAGTGAAAGTGAAGTGGGGTTGAGGAATTTGGTGAGTAGGAGTAAGGCATTGATGTATATAGTGGATAAGGATTATGTCTCTGCGGTAAGGGAGTATGAAGAATGTATCGAGAGGGATGGAATGGATATGGTGGCTATGAATAATAAAGCTTTGTGTTTGATGTACTCGAGGGATTTATCGGATGCTATTAAGGTGTTGGAGAATGCTTTGGAGAGGGTTCCGACTGTCGCATTGAATGAGTCTCTTGTTGTGAATTTGTGTAGTATGTATGAATTGGCTTATGTTAATCATGCTGATATTAAGAGGACACTTAACAATTGGATTGCTAGAGTTGCTCCTGATGATTTTGACTCTTCTTGTACTCGAACATGAGGTATTGTTCTTTGTAGATGTAACTGAGAATGAGAATTCAAATAAACATTTTCGTAATCTTATTTCCTCCTTATTTGTGTGATTGTTTGTATCTTGGGACACATTTTTGTTCTTTGATAATATAGAAAGAAGGACCTTATATATCACTATATTTGGGGTGACATGATTTGTAATTTGTTCGTAGTGTTAGTTAAGTAAGAATTAACTGCTTGTATTCCGTCCAAAAATGATGAAATAATGAAGTTATTCTCAAGAATCCCCTCTCTTCCATTTTGTTGTGTATACATCAAGGCATATTCAGTTACATTTTGTGAGTATGATATCAGATTTTTACGTCTAGAAAGCTGGTTTCTGCTCATGATGTTCAAGTATTAGTCCGATCATCTAGATGTTGTTAAGATTCATCTCTGAAATTCATAATGCTGAGAAGCAATATAGATGAGACATCAAACTCTTAATAGTACCTGAGTGTTACACTTCTGTAGTTGCTCAATTTGAATATCGGGTTGTTTTGCACTGTGGATCTGTTGGTTCTGATTATATGGAACCTTTTCAATATCCCTGAATTCGAGTAAAGTGTAAACATACTCTGGCTTTAGAAAGTGTCTAAAGTACTATTATGTTGTTGCTCTTATTTGGTATTCTGAGTAGGTGAGCCAAAAGTTTGACGTATTCTTGAAAATAGAGTGGAGAGACATCCTAGTACTAATATTTTGTTTTACTATTTAAGGTGCAACTTATACTAGTCTTGTTAAGTGATAAAAGATGAAAACTTGAAGAAGCAAGAGGTCGTACTGATTTAAAGTAGTTTATGACTAACTAATGCCGAGACACTCTATGAGATTAAGTTAATTAATCGGCTCAGACGAGCTATGACTATCTAAACATGCTTGCCTTATAGAAGTTCAAGATGGTTCTGTTGAGCCCGCCTCTAGTTTTCCTTACGTTGTAACACATTGTTTCCTTCATTACTTTGTTGATTTCAAAGAAAATTGTGCTGCTGACGCCTTTCACTGTCAGAGCAAAACCGACCTCCCTTATGAGTTGTGAAATCTTATTACACTATCCTTCTATGACGAAATCTCAATTTGCACAAAGCCTTATGTGTGCTGGCGTGTGACGCCTTAGGACGTGCATATCCTATTCATTGATTGAACAAAGTGATGATGTATTGCTATGATTTGGTGATTTTGATTGTGGATGACTGGATGGAAGTTGTTATTGTGCAAGTAGCGTTGAAGCAAAGATTTTGTACATGTTATGTTAAGTATATAGTCTTTTAGGATCATCGGGAACGACTGTGATCTGGGAAAGACTTCTTGGCGTTGGCGACGAAACTATGAATGCATTTTGTATAACTCCTGTATTTGCTGTTACTGTTCTATTAGTATCATTTAGTAATTACTGATTATTATTTTCCTTTGCTAGAAACGAGTACTATATAGTATATGCATATCAGAGGATGCATAAAAGTCCATTTTGAAAATCCCATGCTTTATCTGGGCGTATTGTATATGTCATTTGTCAGTTAGCTAATAAGTCTCTGGAGATTTTTATTTTTTTTATAGCATGGAACATAATTTATCATCAAATAGTCATATTTTCAGAAGAAGAAAAAATATCTGTGATGTATGTAATCCAAGGAATGGGGAGATTGACGACGATATTACATATTGTAGAGCGGGTAGATGAAGTGGAGACTTGCATTCAGTGTCTTGTATGATAAAAATGTGTTAGTAAGACTTAAAGGTAAGTTTTATAAGGTGGTTGTCAGATCACCTATGCTATATGGGGCGGAGTGTTGGTCGGTTAATTATTCACACGTCCAGAAGATAAATTCGAAACAAAAATATTTGGAATTAGGTGAGATTGGCCTCCATGGTGGATAAGATGTGGGAGACAATGTTTAGATGGTTCGGACATGTAAAAAGGAGATGCATAGATGTCCTAATGAGGAGGTATGGGAGGTTAGTTAGACTGGGAACGAGGAGAGTAGACCAAATGAAGTATAGGGGAGAGGTGAATAAACATGATATGGTATATCTGCATCTTATCAAGGACATGACCCCCTATATAGGAGGGTATGGATGATGAGGATTAGGATATAATATTATTAGGTATTTGAGCGTTGTCTAACTTTCCCTATTACTATCTTATTTCTTCGATTCTATAATCTTTTGTTTTTTTTCTCTTCATTTACATCTTGTTTGTCCGTCTCCTTTATCTGAAGCATGATTTCTTCATTACTATAATTTCTTTCCATATTTAAGTTTCATTGTTTTACTTGCGAGAGGGTATATTGGATCCATCGTTTTACCTTCACAAAGGTAGGGTAAGATTACGGATACACCACCCTTCTCATATCCTATATATGTGATTACCTCGATCTTGTTTTTGTATGAACATATTATTCTTTTGAAATAACACCCTTCAAAACGAAGCTCATTCACAACAATTTGAAATTTGAATTCGAAGCTCCAACAATGGTTCCTCAGCTACTTCTTGACATTTGTCTGTTCAATAGAGCGAATTTTACACAATAAACTAAATGAATATTTCTTTATAAAAAAAAAAGTGGCATATATTTGTATGAAATTATTGTCATTTTTCTTGGTAGTAAAATATTTAGATCACTATATAATTAAAAAATTTAAAAAGAAGATGTATTAACTGTTAAGTCATTTTTAACTTCAGTATAGAAGATTTTAAAACATATGAAACTGTTTTTGATACTGTGTTAAGAAGATTTGAGACTTAAGAAAACATTACGCTAACCTTGAAAATTTCTTAAAACATTATAATTTATTTTGTAAATGATACAGATCCATTCAAGATGGCTCAAACTCCACCGTTATAACCAAATTTAAATAAAAATACAATAAAAAATTTATCATATAAATTCAATCTTTTGTTTAAATTTAGTTTTAAACTATTCATTAATAAAAAAATTATTTTAGGAACTAAATGGCTGGTGTCCGTGCTAACACGAGTCCAACAACGATAATAATTTGCGGAAGCAAAAGTAAACTAACAACAATAATGTGCCGAAAGAAAGTTAGACTATCAAATGTAGATACATTATATCCTAACATAAGCAGAATTTAATGTGTCATCCGCAACTTTGAAGAAGGTTGATTTGTGAAGTTGTGCGGCACGGGAACAAGGGCGGACCCACACTATATCAAGGGGTGTCATTCGACACTGCTTCGTTGAAAATTTCTAATATTATATATATTAAAATCTGGAAAAGAAAATATCATTGATGAGATTCTAACCTCCAATCTTCAATTTCTAGTTAAATTATGATGAAATTGATCAATTGAACTAGAATATAATTTACACAATCCTGTAGTAATTTAATTACTTGTCCGAAATGAAACTCAACACATTAAAATTAAGTCATTGAGAATAGTTGTTGATACACTTTAAAAAGCTTTTATCAATATAGTGTTGTTATATCAATTATCCATTTACTTATTTATTATTAAATATCGACATCACTTACACAAAATTCTACGTACGCTACTGCCGAAAAATACAGTTGCCCTTTTCTTGTGAATAGCAAGCTGGACTTATGACCTTTCTATATGTGGAGAGGTATAGATGGTAAAAAATATAGACAATTAGTATAGCGAATTTGCACGGTAAAATAATAAAAAATTTGTGTCAAAGAATACCTTGCAAGCATAGTATTTGAATCCATATAGGATTTACTATTATGAGGCTATAGTCATAAAAATAAGTTTCATTTGTATGCCAAAAGTCAAATGTTAATTAGTTGTTATACATGCTTAAAACTTAAAGCATTATTTTACTACTATATAGAAGAAGGCTAGGGAAGCAGTTGTTTGTCAACATGTTTATATGAACATTTTTTTAATGTTTTCTTAATATTATGCTTAATTAATATTGTACTTGGTTGTTTTATAATTGTACTTTTTTAATATAGGACATAAAAGCCTTTCTACATTTTAAAACAATAATACTTTATTTGTTACTATATTTTTTTTTGCATAATATATCAGAGACAAAAAAAATTACGTTTAGAGTGAAAAAATATCGAATATTAAAAAATTGTGTGTTTCTTAAAAATTACATAAATAGTACTATAGATCATAATAATTAATAATTTAAATATTTAAAAGTTATATAAAAAAAATTGATTGACTCTCGAAATCATATTGGTACCACATAAAATGGGTTAGCTGATAAATATATATTGTTTGAAAATGACGTAAAAATTATTATAAATCAGAATAATTTTTTTAAAAAAAGTTAAAATACATATAAAAAAAATCAACTAACTCTAAAAAAATCTATCAATGCCACATATATTGGGACATGAAAAGTAACATATACATTATTTGAAAATTACGTCAAAAGGTACTATAAATTACAATAATTTATAACTTAATATATGTAAAAGACATAAAAAAAAGTGGTTAATTTTAAAATTCTATATATGCCACATAAATTGGAACAAAGAAAGTACAATATATTATTTTTAAAATTATGTAAAAAAATATTAACAACGTAAAATATTTTTAAAATCATATAAAAATTTGGATAACTTCTCAAGTTTTATGATATCACATAAATTGAAACAAAAAGTTAATATATATTGGGCCCCATGCTGGCATGGGTCCTATATCTAGTCTGACCACAAACATGACTTCTTTGCACAAATTGATCTTGTGTTAGTCAGTTCTGTTGGGTTTTAAGTATTATTGATTTTTTGGTTTTTAAATATGCTAAACTGATTACCAAACCAATAAGATATTTGTTATCGATTTCTGGTTAATCGATTTTTGGTATTTAACGGTTAGATTTTCGATTTAACCAATAAGAAAATGCTTCCAAAACACATACAATATAACTTGTCCAACAATTTGACGTGAAATAAAAAAGAGAGAAATCAAAACTCATTGAGTCAAAATTTTTGCCTAATGTAGTAAAAGTATAACAACTACTCACAATTCACAACCCTAGCCGTTGCCTAACCCTTGCCATCATCGTTGCAAACCCTAGCCGTTCTTAGTTCTTAGTTCTTTAGGTTTTGACGTTGTGAACCT